AGGGGGAGGAATCGCATCAGCGCTGGCTGGGAAGCAACTCTGCTTGTGCTCATCGATGTGCTGGCCCATGCCAAGGCAGGGGCACCAGCTGCCGAGGTGGATGCCGCCCTTGCCCATCCCCCCCACCACTAAATCGCACCCAAGCCCCCTGTCACGCCTGCATCAGGGACAGCGCGGCGCGGGGCGGGACGATGGTCTGGCGGTTGGGCTTGTTCATGGCAGATGCCACCTTGGCCAGCAGCTTGTTGCTGGCGATGCCAGCCGAGCTGGTGTAGCCTGTGCAAGGGGTGTCCGGGGGTGATCATTGCTTGCTGATGGCTGAGCGGGATCTGCACCGCAACCTCATGGTGGCAGCGCCAGTGCCAGTCGCCTCTCGGCCTCCGTGTCCACACCCGGAGCTCACCCAGCTGCTCAAACAGGGCGGCGCGGAGCCGGGCCGCCAGCCCTGCCCCCTGCCCCAGTCGCCGCTCGAACTCCGAGCCGGGGTTCAGGGGCCCACCGATGACCACGCTGTCTGCCTCTGGGAGGAGGCCCCCATGTGCCTCGTGCCGACTCAGTGCCCGCTCCACCTCTGCCGTCACGTCGATGTAGACCTCGTCGATCGAGGCCTTCTCGATCACCGCCCCCGGAAGCTGGGCATGGAGCAGGGTCAGGACCTCTGCCGTAGATCGTCTGGGAGGGTGGAATGTGGGACAGGGGGGGTGGGGGGACCCCCTGTTGAATCACAGGCTGCAGTACTGCCATCACACAATCCGCCGCCAGCCCCAGGGTCAGACCTGTAGCGCTCCAGGGAGGCCTTCTGCGTCGAGCGGTTGGGAGCCGGGGCTCCCTTGGCGGGATCGGCTCCCACGCCGGCGTCGGCGCCATGCGGCGCGTCGGCGCCCACTGTTTCCACATGCACCAGCACCAGCTCTGGGACCCTGGCCCGTGCTTCATGCACCCTCATGTGCCGGGTGATGCCCCGGGCCCGCGCCGCGTAGTTGATGGCGATGAGGCCCTCCCTGGCGGGTGGGGAGCGATGAAAGTGTGGGGGAAAGGTGGGAGTGGCATGAGCACAGCCATGGAGTCGGACGTGATGCTGGCTGACCCCCCCTGGCAGGCTAGCATCCCAACCTCAGGAGGCAGTCGAAGCATGCTCACCATTGCTGCACGGCGCAGGGGGTGTCACGGGGGATGCCAAGCCGCTTCTGCTCCACCTGCTTTGTCGGAAATGAAACGGGGGATTCAGTGCAAATCCTCAGAGATGCCACAGCAGGTGCAGCGGGGGCATGCAGAGCGTGCCTGAGCATAGTAGCAGTCAAAATCGATGTGTAGGATCACACGGCTGTGGTTGGCTGGGTGCCCTATCTGAGTCATCAGAGGCTGAGTCGAGGGGCCCAGCTGCACCCCCTCTTCATCGCGGCGATCCCAGGCGATCTGGCCCTTCCTGGCGAACCTTGCAGGGTATGTGCATGAAATCAATGCTCCCCAATAACTTGGTGTGCAGCACAGCGCGCAATGGGATTCATTGCCGGACTCGCGGCAGGTTCATGGTGCTGGGCTTGCTGTCGATACTTTCGAAACACGCCGAGGGTGTAATGCTGCAGATGGCATCTCCTTTCTCTGCCTTCCTTCACACCGACCAATATCCCTTGATGCACAGGTGTGCCAAGTTCTTGAGCCCTTTCAGGCTTTCAGGGAACGTGGGTTGTCGTGTGCATGCGATCTGACACCCTGCCTCTCAATCATTCCCAAGCCTGAGCTCCTCGCCAGGCTGCAAAAATCAACCTTGGTAACCAGAACTGAAACACAGTGTAGAGCAGTAGAAGCATACTGTCGGATCAGTCTGCACGGAAAGCAGGTCCTCCATGCCGGCACAGGAACACCGTTGAAAGTCTGTCCTTCGCATGGCTGTGTGTGATCATGCACCCAGAGGCTGCTTCTGCTTCAGCGCATCCTGCACAGCTGGAGTCCAGGGTCCTTGGATGCTTGGGTTCCTGCTGACCTGGCGAGTCTTCACCTGCAGCGCCGCCTTACGCCCCGTGGAACTCCGCAGTAGGATGGCTTGCCTCATGATCTCGTCCGGGTCTTCGTTTCGTAGACCCACGGTCCGCACTCTACCATTCACTGGTGTGGGACGGAGAAGGGGGGGTGGGGGTCTTGAGGCAGCAAGTTCTAGCTTTGTACCCACAGCAGAGCTAGGTTCACCCCTGCCAGTGGTTGCCGGGGGCTCTCCATGTTCACAGGTCACACAGGCCACCATCAGAACATGATCTCATCCCTCAACTCATGCTCACGATACTGGGCGGTGAGGTTGGGGTGCCGACCCGGGTGCACATGGAGTGTGGCGTCCAGTTGTGGGTTGCCTGCCGTGAACTCGGGCCACAGCTTCTCCACAAATACTCTGCTGGGTGGAGGCTAGTGCGCATTGGTACCACTGACATACCATCATCCTGCAGGATCTCTTCCGATTCTCACAAACATAAGACTAGCCCATCGCCCCCCAGGCCCATCCTTCTGCACCTCGCGCCCCGGCTGCTGCCGGAAAACTCGCAGTAGTTGAGGATGAGTTTCTGCAATTGCCAGACACCCTGACGCGCCATTGCAGGTCTGACGCACAGCCTTTCTGTGTCCCAAGGGAGGCGGTGTGTGCGTGAGGTCCTGCAAGAGCTCCGGGTGCTCCACACGGTGTAAACGAGTTCCGCTCCCAGGTATGTTGTCTGCTAGGGGGGAAATATTCGGTTCTGAATATGCCGAAATCCGATATTGTTACGCTGAAAGTGAATAGTGTCGTCGTGTAGAGGTTGCTGCAGGGTGCACAACGACGAATCTCTGCGGCGCGCGCAAACCCAGGCAGCTGTTTGGGAGGTGCCCTGCGTCCAACCCTGCCCCTCCCCACAATGGTGTCTCATCCCAAACAAATTGTGAACATGGCTGAAGTCTCCTTTCTCATTCAAAGTGCGCATTGGGTTGCAAATTTTTAAAAATAAGCAGTTGGTATTGCTGGGAGGGCCTCTGACAATCCCTCCCCAAACATTTGCCTGGTTGAGTCTCCTAAAAATTGAATGTACTCCTCGTATACAAGGAGTCAGGACCTGGCTTCACATCTCTTCGATCGGCCTCTCTGATGCCGCCCAGCCATTGACCCCGCCCTTCAGGACCTTGATGGAACCAAACTTGCCCGACTCGACGAGCACATGGGCAGCAGTGAGCGAACGACTCTGCGTGCCGACCTTGAACGAGCCTGTGAGGGCATGATGAAGGCCACTACTGAGCGATGGAGATAAACAGAACGCTTGACACATTAAAGTGCGTGCAATTAACGGACTTTGGTCGAGGGCTATAGCGTGCGAGAGGGTTTGGGGTGGATGCTCTATGCGAGAGACAGACGAGCATCCAACATGAAACCTCACATGCAACAGACCTATCAGAAGGGCATGGAACCACCTCTTTGGGCAACTGCCAGCCCCGCCCATCATTCAAGCCATGGTGGTATTCCACAGCAACGAGCTGACCCCACTCTGCACATCGCGACCATCTTTACCTGAGTGTTCAATGACGCCTCCGATGTTACACATCAAGATGATGCCCTTGCTGGAGTCGGCGGCGACGCGGCTCACCTCCTCCACAAACAGGGGGTTGATCTCCGTACCCGTGCGTATGCCAAACAGGGCAAAGGCCAGCCTGCGAAGGACCCTGACCGCATCCCACCCGGAGATGGGCCTGAAGAAGGGGACGTTGACGGTCCCCGAAACATGCCCGGCCTCGAACTCTGCAGGCAGCCGCACATCCACCACGCACTGGGTCCCAGCCTGCAGGGCATGCTGAACCTCCTGGGGGCTCAGCAGCTGCACATCGGCGCGCCGCAGGGAGTCCACGATGATGGCCCAGCCGGCGGGGCTGGTGGGCTGGTGACCCTGGATGCTGAGTCCGCTGCGCATACTGGCAGAGGTGGTCAGTGAAGATCTGGGGCCAGGCCTACGTCCCCTAGGTGGCGATGGTCTTGCGTGGGATGGGGGAAAGAAGCTGAGCATGGAGGATGAGATCATGCACGACTCCCGTGCGCGGATGTGCATCATGCGTGCCCCCTGGAGGCAAACGATAGCAATGCTTCGGCATCCCATCGAGGAATAAGATGTATAATGATGCACATGCAGTCTCCTGCTCACCTCAGGCTGAAAGCAGAGGCCATTGCTGTGTGGGCGAGCATGACTCGGCCGCTGCCTGGTCCACAGCTCCCGACATTCACGCTCGGCAGCACACCAGTTTGCGCCAGCATCTTGAGGAAGGAGTGAGATTGTCATGAAAAGCCCCAAAAGCACGCCAGGTGCTTGGTGATGCTGTCATGAAGACATGCTCATGCGCAACCCCGCGAGGGTGGAGATCGCGCGCGCCAGAACCTGGGTTGAATCTCACTCGAGTCACGACTTCACTGGCACGGCACGACCTACAAAAGGGGCTGAGTGCTCTGGTACAGATCAGGTGGACACCATTCTACCACCAGTACTAGCTTCAGCCTGTGCTTCGCGTAGATCATCGAGGCAGATTGTCCCACGCACGCGCCAGGGCCATGACTGGCCGGGTGGTCCTGCTGGCCGTGGACGACTCGGATGCCTGTGAAGGAGCGGTCAAGTTCACGGTGGAGCAAATGTGTGTGGTAACATGGGGTTTGGGCTGTAATCGACCGAGGATCGCTGTGAACAGGGGGATCTCGCATCCCCGTGTTCCTCCCATCACATATGGTCATGCGCCTGTGTCCTCCACTTTCCAGGCACCAGGGAGGGGATGAGTACCACGTAGTGCATGTCATCCCCAGGCTCCAGCTCTCCTCACAGTATGGCGCACCCTCCATCGACTTCCTGCCACAACAGGTCTGTAAGCCGGTTGGCATGGACGGAGTATTCTTCCTCTTTCGACAGGGCTCACGCATCGCTCCGGCCCATGGGCACCGTCCGACCCCCACCCAATCCCCACAGGACTCCACGGCCTACGAGGCGCTCCTGCAGCGTGCCCAGGACTTTTTGGCTGCCAGGGTCGTGACTCATCTGGGCGACGTCGACCCTCCTCCCATGCTCCACCTCATCAAGGTGGCAGGGTGCTCTGTTTCGGTCAGGTCGAGGGTCGGTGCCGCAACCCGCTCGTTGGTGTAGGGCGGGTAGACATTGGCATGAACGGCTGGGATCGGGAGTTGGTGTCCCCCCATCCGCAACCATTGAATCCCTCCCCCTTTTCTCCCCTCCCAGAGCGAGACGGACACCGACTCCATCGGCGCGGTGATCTGCCGCAAGGCGGAGGAGCTGGGCGCGGGGCTGGTGGTGCTGTCCGCCCGCCAGAACAGCCGCCTGCACGACTTCTTCGTGGGCAGCGTCAGCGGCTACTGCCTGGAGCATTGCGCCGCCCCGCTGCTCATCCACTCCTGAACGAGGTCGCAGCGTGCCTGGGAGACCGGCGCACTGCTCTCCACCCTGGAGCGGCCTCCACACATTGGCGTATTCAGCCGGTCACCCCACCGTGCTGGCACCCTGCTGCACTCTCATTCTCCCGGTGCCTCGACTCCAGTGCCGAATTTCAGAGTGCACGGGGCATTGGTAATGAGTTTTATATCGACAGGGGGAGAGTGAGCAGGCGTGGGCCGGGGTCTGTTGAGGTCATGCGCGGGTCAACGCTCGGGCATTCATCACCAACGTGGTGTCAGAGCCCGTCTCAGCTACAGCGCGTGCCCGCCGCCGCCACCCTGCTACTCCTCCTGGGCCAGGCGGCGGCTGAGGGCGTGCAGCTCCCGCTCCACGCCCGCCCAGTCGTGCACGCGCGTGATGCGCGGGTGGGAGGGCCCTGCCGGCGTGCTGGCCCAGGGGTAGCCGCCCTCCCAGTCGAAGAGCAGGACGTGCAGGCCCTCCTCGGCGCACTCCTCCGCGTAGCGTGGGTTGTCGTCCACCAGCACCTGCGCGCCCGCGCCGCGGCACATCTCCACCTTGCTGAGTGAGGCGCCCTCCAGCGCGTAGTGGTTGCCAAAGTGCACGCTGCTGAAGACCTGGAGCGGCAGGGGTTGGGATGAGGGTGGGGTGGTGTGGGAGGTCGTTGGTGTCGAGGGCCCCGCACCTCACGGCTTGACCGGGGTCTCCTCCCTCCTGTCCACAAACCACACCCGCCAAACCTGGGGGAAGTGGGTTTCTACCCAGTCCAGGGTGGGTTCCTGGATGACGTGCTGGCGGGAAGTGACCACCACCAGCTCTGCAAAGGGCTGCAGCCGCTTCAGGCTCTCCAGCGCACCTGCAAGTGGTGAAACTTTGGAGAGAGTGAGATGTCAGCTCTCCTGCCCTCCTGCACATCCCTGTGTTCCCTGAGACAACCATGCCCAGCAAACCTCTCGTCCGACTATTCGCCGCCCCACCGGGCCCTACCGTCACCAATCGCCTCCCGCGCCCCTCCTTCCTGCACCTGGAATGGGCTGGATGCCAGCCGAGAAATGGTGCGACTTGAAGAAGTTGTGCACCATGACGTTGCTTGCCTCCTGGCTGCACTTCCACACCTTGGCAAAGTCGTAGAGGAAGTAGTCAGACACCTGGTACTCACGGCCATGCTCCTCCAAGCAGAACTGGTTGAGACTGTGCAGGAAGCGACCTAGCACTGCGGGAGGGGTTGGATGGGTATGCCTCAGCATCTGTGCCGGGCCACACGAGGACGGGAGCCCACAAAAAGCATCTGAGTAAGGCTTCCTCACACACGTACCCCAACAGGTCCCGCTTCACACCGCGCACCTTCATCCACATCCACAGCCACCTTCAGGCGCCGCCTGGGACGAGCGTGGGGCAGGATGTTGCCGCCCAGCCCAGGCTCCCCAGTTCCGGTGGTGGAGACATCCAGGGAGGACAGCTGTCGCTCGCACAGGTCGGCACGTTGCTGCAACCTGGGCCGGACACCCTCGGTGTGAGATTCAGCCTTGGCATGCAGCGCAAGGGGCCGCACGTGAGGTGGGCGATGGACGCCGAAGGCGCGGTGGTTGAGCGACACGCGGGTTGTGCCCGTGAGGTGTCCCCCTCGATCCAAGCCCGCCATCTTGCCAATCGTGCACAGGGGAGAGAGCTGGTATTATGACCGACAGCCCTCCCCCTCGGTACGCGTTGGAACTCTAAGGAGGTGCAGCTGTCGTCGAGTCAGACGCGGGGGTACCACAAGCACCCCCGTGCACGGTACTGAGTGGTACAACAGTAAAGCACTCTCCACATCCAAAGGGAAGTGATCTATGAGGGAGAGGGGGGGGCGGCACTGCTGCCATAATCCTCTCTGATTCCATCCACCGGAGTTTTAACCCAAACTGCACAGCAGTTCCTAGGGAACCGCCGGCGATGGGACCGGCGGCATCAGTGCTTCCATGGCCGTTAGCCATCTACGGATCACTGATATGCACAATCCACCCCACAGGTGGAGTTACGAAGTGGCGGGACATTCCCTGCAACAGATGAGAAAGGGAAGGTGTTAAGTCTGCTGCCGAGGCACCGGCGCGTCTGTGCGATGGGAAGCTTATAATGGAGTCCTGCATACCCAATAACCCCGCCCGCATGACACACCACCCATCCCCTGGCCAGAATCACACCACAGACCACCAGCTGTCTCCTCGCCAAACAACACCCTGCAGTATGCTGGGCAACTCATTACGGCACTGCCACTGAATGGCAGGGTGTCGCCCTCTGGTCTCCACTGTCGAAGATAGCTCCCACATGTGACAAAGCACGCTAGTCTCCGCTGCGGGATAGGAAGGACATTGTTTGGGTCAGAGGCACGATCGTAAGATCACGCGGCAGGTATGAGTTTCGCCCATCAACCTCCCCCCACTCATCTTTGACTTACTTTCTTGGTAGATTCAAAGTTGCTCCGTCGATGTTGCTCCTCCGATGTTGCTCCTCGATGAGTTTGTACTGGGAGTAGGCAGGAGTGCGTTGGGAAGGGTTTGGCAACAGACTAGCAACCTCACGAGCAGGGGATGGACAGTGCTGACCCGTCATGAGCCAACGTACATCGCAGACCATAGCTCGCTGCCACACCAACACGGGCGACTCACCCGTTCATTATGTTCCGGTGCGGCCAATTTTGGAGAGGGTACGGAAGCAGGATGACACCATCGTCGATCATCGACTGCAAGGCGATGAGATCAGCAGGGGTCGACCCATCACGAGCGACCAGATCAGCAGGGGGGGCGATTCGGAGTCCTGCAAAGTAGGACGAGGACTCGAGGGCTGAAGATCTCGATGGACACCCCACTGGGCAACGGATGACATGAGTACCAGCTACTATGCTATGCAGGGACACTCCAGCACTGCCCATCCTTAATTCAGATGTGCAAGGGCCAATACCACTCACACCACTGCATCCACCTGCCTTGTGGATGCAAGAGGTGTTGCGCTGGAAGGGCGTTCCTCCGCATTGCCACCCATGGCGCGCTTCACGCGCCGTCTGGTTTGTCGTGGCTGAGCTGCTTGTCCAATCTCGCTGCATGGGTAAGAGGCAAATGGAAAGGGTGGGCTACACCTCCCAGACAATGTCCGTTTGGCTGTTTCTCATTCATTTGCCTACGTGTAGAGGTGCAGTCAAAGGGATCCTATGTCTGAAATCTGCCTTCTGTCTTAAGGGTTAACCCCCCCACTTATACACACACACGCGCACCCCGCACCCTTTCCCACTGTACTGATTCTCACATAACGGGAACTTGTCCACCCACTGCCCACGAAAGTGGTCAGCCAGCCCCGGCGGCACGGAGGCGTCTGTCAGCACCGCCTCCACGCGGGCCTTTGCTGTCTCCAAAGCTACATCCTTGGCAGCCTGGCTCGAGTCCTTCCGTAATCCAAAGGACATGGCTTGCAGCTCCTTGAAGGCCAAAACAAAATGTTGTCCGTGGCCCTTCCCGAGGCGGCTGGCATTGGATGCCACAGCCTTGGACTGGTGCAGGCTGCAAATGTGGACGGGCATCCAGTACGGAAAAGCCGACCTGTGCATGGGGAGGGATTGTGTGGTGTCCTCAGGGGTCATTGGTCACATCAAATATGCTGCTGTCCGCACAATCAAAGCGTGCTCCCACCTGATGGCGCTGTACTCTGCCGCACTTGCATCGATGAATACACAGGAAGGCATCCAGTCTTGGCCCATCCTGTCAATGATCACTCTGAGCCACTTCTGGATGCCCTCCACTCGCTCATGCCGCAGCAGCGCCGCAGACCCATTGTGCACCCGATTTCCCAAGCCCATTGCGATCAGGAGGAAGGCTTTAAGCTGTACGGAGGGAGGGGGGGGGCGTCTGTGAGGACAGCCTCCCCTCTGACACAGAGGCATCCAGAGCCCAGGCCATACACTGCATGGCTACCCATCCCACCACTTCCTCACATTCACACCATTAGTGCCATGCATGCTGTCGATCCACACAGGGCGGCCATGCGCACAGTCGCGCAGGACACGCTGGTGATTATCGTTGAGCTCGACGAGTTCAATCAGCCCCTCATTGTCACGCTCAACGACGGCAAAGTCTGAACGCCGAGCCTGGACCGCCTTCATCAGGCTTGTGGCTGTATCTGGGCCAGCATCCATGGAGTGGACTTCTTGGACCGGCGAATGTTCCTGCGATGGGGAGCGCATACAAGTGGGACCACGGTAGGGCACCAAGGTGCAGGTGATTGGCACCGAGCGACCCTGCCTTGCAGCTCACGCGATCTCGTTGTTGGTGATCGAGCAATCCCTTTGGTGGAGATTTGGGTGGTTTTGCTGGAAGGCCAAGTGGTCGGTCACACTTGTGTAGACGGCCAAACTTATCCCTGCCTTGCGCAGCTTCTCGCACCGAGGCAACGATGCTGGGGTTGCGAAAGGCCGGGTTGATGGTCGGCAGAGACTCCACGAGGTCAACAGCCCACTGGGACAGGCGCAGCCAGTGGAAAGCGGCGTCACTGTGGGCCAAATGCCCAATGTCAGGGTAGAAGACAATGCTCTTCTTGGAGTCTTGCCTCAGCTGCTTGACTGTGAATGTATGCTGGCAGCCGGTCCTGTCAGAGCGGCGGCGCGACAGGCTCGTCCGCCCCTCGCGCTGACTGGCGCTGTCCTTCTCCACCCACTCAGGTGTGCCCGGACCACGGGCGCACCTGTACTTCTCGACTGACAACCAGTCTTGTGGGTGTGTTGAAGAGCTGGTACTGAGTGCAGCGGAAAGAGGACGGGCTGCATGCTCATCACACGGGCCTTCCGTTGGAGGTGCCATACACTGCATGGCTACCCATCCCACCACTTCCTCACATTCACACCATTAGTGCCATGCATGCTGTCGATCCACACAGGGCGGCCATGCGCACAGTCGCGCAGGACACGCTGGTGATTATCGTTGAGCTCGACGAGTTCAATCAGCCCCTCATTGTCACGCTCAACGACGGCAAAGTCTGAACGCCGAGCCTGGACCGCCTTCATCAGGCTTGTGGCTGTATCTGGGCCAGCATCCATGGAGTGGACTTCTTGGACCGGCGAATGTTCCTGCGATGGGGAGCGCATACAAGTGGGACCACGGTAGGGCACCAAGGTGCAGGTGATTGGCACCGAGCGACCCTGCCTTGCAGCTCACGCGATCTCGTTGTTGGTGATCGAGCAATCCCTTTGGTGGAGATTTGGGTGGTTTTGCTGGAAGGCCAAGTGGTCGGTCACACTTGTGTAGACGGCCAAACTTATCCCTGCCTTGCGCAGCTTCTCGCACCGAGGCAACGATGCTGGGGTTGCGAAAGGCCGGGTTGATGGGCGGCAGAGACTCCACGAGGTCAACAGCCCACTGGGACAGGCGCAGCCAGTGGAAAGCGGCGTCACTGTGGGCCAAATGCCCAATGTCAGGGTAGAAGACAATGCTCTTCTTGGAGTCTTGCCTCAGCTGCTTGACTGTGAATGTATGCTGGCAGCCGGTCCTGTCAGAGCGGCGGCGCGACAGGCTCGTCCGCCCCTCGCGCTGACTGGCGCTGTCCTTCTCCACCCACTCAGGTGTGCCCGGACCACGGGCGCACCTGTACTTCTCGACTGACAACCAGTCTTGTGGGTGTGTTGAAGAGCTGGTACTGAGTGCAGCGGAAAGAGGACGGGCTGCATGCTCATCACACGGGCCTTCCGTTGGAGGTGCTTCGAATTCGAACCTGGGTTGCGGGGTGGGCCTGCCGATGGAAGGACTTTCGGAACATGCGGCCCTCGCCGTGCAGGATGTCAAACACGCACTCCGTAGGAATGGTTGCCTGCGTCAAAGGCTTATTGTAGTAGGTACAGTGGACTGTGGCCTTGGCGGCCACTATGTCGGCAATGGTGAAGGGGCCCTCCGAAGGGTTCGAGTAGCGGGGGCACGCCGCGCATTGTTTGCAAATGATTTAATATTTTTAGATGTGACTCAACAATCTGGGGTGCCTTTGCGATCTGTCATGTGGTGTTTTCTGATTTAAGTCGCGCGCGATCTGGGACCCCTGGAGCGTGAACTGCTTCCCTGCGCATATCCTTGCCCGAGACTTTTTAGACCCGGGGGGTTCATTGGAGCGTTAGTCCCCACTGGCCCGCATTTCCACTCCCTTCACGAGTTGCCATTGTTTGAGAAGCATATTGATGTCCTTTCACGCTCGCGAGTGGGCACGAAGGAGCCGAGTGCCGGGTCACCCGTCGTGCGTGGGTGTTTGAACCCCTTGCGTGACAAGAAGGGCAACCTCTCGCACCGATTTGCCTCAGCACCGCATGTAATTTGATGTTGTGGAGTGAGTGCAGCTATCTGCCCAGCAAACCGCGGAGGAGGTGGCCTTGAGGCCGCCAACCTGTTTTGACCACCCTGCGAGCCATCCCAGGTGAGGCGCTGGCGCAGCGGGACCCGGGCGGACGTGCTTGCACGCGCTCCGTGCATGAACCGACAATCTGAGCCTGTCTCATGAGCGCAGCCATTTCGCTGAAGCGGGCCGGGAGGTCGGTGCAGGCCGCGGTCTCGATCAGTCCCCCGTGTCTGTTACCCCACCCCTCGGCTCACCCGCCCCATCCCTCCCCCGGACCCCCAGGCCTGCCATCATGGTGATGGTGCGAACGAGGGGCGCGCGGGAAGCCCCGCCACCCCCGCTGGCTGGGCTCGGGGGCCGCTCCCTGTCTGACGAGGAGCTGGCCTGGCGCCTGCACCAGGAGCTGAACGCGGGCATGGGTTCCCCCGCGCTGCACACCCGCACACGGAACCCGGGCACCTCCACGGAGGGCACCAGCGGAGAGGGGTCAGGGCCAGGCGCCCACAGGTCGCCCGCCTCGCCGCGCGGGGTCGCCCCGGTGTCGCCCCGCGCCGTGCGCACCCGGGCCGACCCCAGCCTCGGCCCCGTACGCGCGGCCCCGGCCGCGAGGGATGTAGCTCCGGAGGCGGCGCGTGCACCGCGCACGCGCGCCGGCGGCGCCGTCAAGCCGGAGCCGGAGCCGAGCGCGGCGCGGGACGCACCCGCGCCTGCCCCGGCCGCTGCGCGTGGCGCCGCGGTTTCCTCTGCGCAGGCCCGCTCCCGGCCGGCCACCCGGCACGGTGGGGCGCAGCCCACAATGCGCATCCGCGACGGCTTCAGCAGCGAAGAGGAGGAGGAGGAAGAGGTGAAGGTGGAGAGCGATGCGGAGGAGGAGGATGGTGGGGAGCGTGCGGGCCCCGCCGCCGGGCCGAGTCGGAAGCGGGGCGCCGCCTCCGCCCCCGCGCCCGCCAGGGCGGCCAAGCCGCTGCGCATCCCCAAGCTGCCCATGGTACTGCAGGGCAGGGGGTCCTGGTACCGCGCGCGGGTGGTCAAGGACGCCGGGGACCGCGTTCTCCTGGGTGAGGGCCCGGGGGGGGAGTTTCTGGGGGGATGGAGCAACTCGAGCTCGGATAGAAAGTGGTCGTGGATTGTGATGGGAGGAGGGAGCGCGGTGCGGCCTCTGTAGTAGCTTCTGTTGGGCGACTTTGGCCAGTTTCTGAACGCCCCTTGTGAAAACCTATTGGCTCAATCCTCATCTTACATGTTCTACATTCCACCCCACCCACTTGCTCGCCAACCTATCTGGAGCGCACCCATTGATGCCTCACCTCCCCTTCCCCCCTCCCAACATCCCAGAGTTCACCGGCTTCGAGGACCAGTTCCCCGCCCTGTGGCTGGCGCGCGGCACGGACCGCATCTGGCGCGGCTCCTACCGCGGCAAGGACTGGAAGTATCTGGGCGGGGGCGCCTGGGAGCCCAAGAAGGCCGCCGGCGCAGGGGCGCGGCACGCCAGGAAGGCGGCGGCCGGGCCCGGCGCCCACGCGGACGCAGCCGCGTCGGGCGAGGGCCCGGGCGCCGGCGATGACTCGCCCAGCGTGCACAGTGCGCGCAGCGACGGCGACAGCCACCCCAGCGACGGCCGCGCCGCGCCGCGCGCCGGCGACGCGGGCGGGCAGCGGCGGCGCTCCGCCGCCGCTGCCACCGCAGAGGGTCTGTCCGAGGCCGCTCGCAGCGTGGTCGGCGGCCGGGCCGCCGGCGACGCTGGGCCGGGGCCCCACTCGCAGCACGAGGAGGTGGGGTCCCCCAGCCGGCGCCGGGACCCGGCGACAAGGCCGGCGGCGGTCGCCACGGCGGAAATCGGCGCGGCGGGCGATGCCGACGAGGCCCCCGCCTCCCCCGCGGCCAAGCGCGTGCGCCGCATCCTGGACCCCATCGTGCGCGAGGCGCTGGCGGCCGCCGGCGCGGGCGA